CGTCTCGGAGCCCGAGGGCCCCTTTCCGGGCCGCCTGGTGGACGTCGGCGGCGCTGGGACGCTGTCCCACAGCTACCGGTATGAGGTCTGCCTCACTGGCGACTCTGGTACTGGTGAGTTCAACTTCCTCAAGCCACCATTTCCCAACCTCCCACCTCAGGGTTTTGGGAAAGAAACAGAAGGAAATGCTGTTGTCCGGAATAGTTTTGGGTTGCAGTAGCAATCTCATTAAGATGCACTGTTTTCTGCTATTTATCCCCAAGTGACGATCATATAATTATTGTGGAGAAAACTTTCGTGGTCAGATACACATTTTTCCTTTTGAAATGGGTTTGCGCACTCAATTTTGTTTTTCACAACTTATGAAGCTTTTAAAAATAATTGTGCTGAATATAGAACTTTGGGCCCATGTTATGTGTGTTATACCCACAAATTGAGCTTTGTTTACCTCCAGCTTAATTCTCCCCAGCTTTGCTGTTACATGAATGTTTATCTTTATTGGTAGTTATAAGGAGAAGACAATTTATTCTTTCACCAAGGAGTTCTTGATTTTTAGAATTTTTAGAAATTCTTGAGTAGACAAAAGCATTTTTTGCTTTTGTCCTTCTCTCCAGTTAAAGTTGCACCCACACTTAGGCTTATAGTAAAATAAAAGACATCTTTGAAAACAGTTTAAATCCTAAGCATTTCTTCATTTGTTTGTAGTTTTTCATGTGGCTTAATAATGGTTGCTATTCCCAATTATCATGTTTCGTTTTTTGTTTTTTGGTGTATAGATATAGATATAGAAATAGATAGATACCTGGGATTGAACTTGGGACCTTGCCCTTGTGAGGGAGTCATGTTTCTTCTTAAATCCACTCCATTTTTGTTAACATTTAAAGTGTTATCACGATTTAAAACACACTTGAAATATACTATAAAGATAAAATCCTAGTTAGAACAAACCAGAAGAAGTGCTGGCAATAATGCACAGTGGTACCTGGCTTTGCTCTCTAGCGCAGGAAAATGAAAACTGAGAAGGAGAAGAAGAGGGTAAGGAGGTGGAGGAGAGAAAAGAGGGGATGGACAAAGAGTCAGAAAACCACTCCTACTTGTGCTGTAAAATGATTCTGAAGGCTAATAATATTGTAGCCACTCAAAGAATTTTGGAATATGAAGCTGTAATTTTCCAGATGTCTTACTAATGTTAAAATGTCAGAATTGGGCCAAGTTAAACAGAGACACCTGAATAATAATTGTATAAGTTAGAATTGTATGCTAATGTGTATATTTTTGCTAATGTTTTGGCATTTAATGTACATATGTTGCCGGGCATGGTGGCACACACCTGGGAGGCCAAGGCAGGAGTAATGCCTCAAGTTCGAGGCAGCCTGGGCCGCTCGGTGAGTTCAAGGCCAGCCTGAACTACATAGTGAGACCCTGTCTCAAAAAAAAAAAAAGCTAAGTATTAAGATTACTCTCTGTCCATAGGCACTCTACATAGAAGATATTAAGGATTACTGACTTAGACATGAAACATTTCAGCATTCTAGAAAAATACATAAGACTCCAAAAGAAAAAATAAAAATGACCAATTTGTGCACACTAGATTAGCTAAAATCAAAAAGACAGAGAAGACAACAAGGGTTAAGGATATGAAATTATTAGCACACTCATGCATTGCCACTGGGAATATAAAATGTTACACTTTGAAAGTTTGGTAGCTCTTCAAACTGTTAAATACATAGATACTTCGTGATGCAGAAAGTCACTTCCTATGTATCTAACCAAAGAAACAAAAACGTATGTCTATGCAAAACAACTTATACAAAAATGTTCATACTGATATTATGCATGAGAACTAAATTTGTAAACAACCCAAGTGTCCATCAAATCATAAATGGATAATAAAATGTGATATAGTCACATAAAGAGATTATTATTCAGCAACAAAATGGTATGAAGAACGATAGAAATGAACCTCAAAAACAGGCAGAATAGAAGCCAGTCATAAAATATCCCATATTGTATGATTCTGCTTATAAGTAATGGAATAACTAGGCAAATCTGTAGAGATAGAAAGCACTTTAGTGGTTAAGACTGGGGGAAATGTGAGCATGAAAAGTAACTGCTAATTTTCAGAAGTTTCTTTTGAGGATGATGAAAATGTTCCAAATGAGAGACTGATAATAAGTGCACAATATATGTGTGTGTGTGTGTGTGTGTGTGTGTGTGTGTTAACCACTGAACGATACACTTTAACTGGGTGAACTGAACACATTATGGTATATCTAAGTAAATGATAGTTTAATAAAGCCATCACAAATAAAGATGGAGTGGTTCTAGCAGCTTGTGGTCCTAAGAAACATTTTCCCTCAGATACAATGGTGGAGGTAGATGAGGCAGAAAAGTCAAATGAGTGCAGCAGAAGAGAGAAGGACTAGATATTTCAGCTGATGCCTCAACTTTTTCAACATATATGAGCAGTAAGATGTCTATTTACAGAAGAAACTGTTTCCTCACTAATGGAGAGTAACTAAGGCTTCAGGAATTCATGTTCCAGGTAAAAGTAACCAATAAAATTCTCTTAAAATGTATTGCTAAAAACGTTTTATTTTATTTTTCAAATATTTATAGCTAAAGTGAATTCAGTGCATAAAAATCAGGCTGCAACAGCCAATTTTATAGTAAAGGACTATATATTTATATTCATTAATGAAATAGCTTTATAACCAGCATGAGAAAGTTACTTAGAAAACAGAGATGCAAGAAGCTACTGAGCTGCCCTGAATGGATTTTGGGAGGGGTACTGGGGTTTGAAACTATTGTTGCTCTACCACTAAGCTATATCCCTAGCCATTTTCATTTCACTTTATTCATTTGCTTGTTTACTGATGTAGTATTGGATATTTCACCCATGGCCTTTGCATTCAATTATGTTCCTAGTCCTTTTTCCTTTTCTTTTTCTGTTTGTTTGTTTTTGACAGAGTATTGCTAAGTTGTCTAGGCTAGCTTTGAACTTTAAATCCTCTTGCCTCAGCCTCCCAAGTGGCCAAGATTATGGCTGTGTGCCACTGAAACTGAAAATTTTCTTCAAAACTCTTACCAATAAAACCCAAATAACAGTTCAGTTTGGAACTAGTCAAGAATATTTTTTAAAAAGAATGTAGTTACATTTTTACAATTACATTGTTCTTCTCCAGTCCACTCAACCTCAAATCCTGATATTCCCATTATATCTTGCTTTGTGGGTGGCATCTTTGTCACCGACTTTATCAGCATCTCCATCCCATGAGGCGGCTGCAACATAGCAACTCCACTTATTTTAATTTCCTTTCTATTAGTTGATTCCCTACTTTGCTACTCCCATTCATTTTCACATTCATCTCCTCCATCCACACACTTAATTTTCCTTCACTAAAACTACCTGATGAAGTGCTATGCCAGATGAATATTTAATAGTCTCTTCCTCGATTCCACCTGGGTTGCTACACTCTGTAATGTAAAACATACAAAATTGTCAGTGCTGTTGCCACTATAACTTTTTCATATCCAAACAACTAGGCTTTTGAGACCAGGAAGTCCTTTTGTAATCCTTCTAATTAACTTTCTTTTCCCATCTCCACAACTATTTAAAGCCTATGCATCTTACTTTAAAATTCTCACCCTACCACTTAAGTACCCATCTTTTAGCTTACTAGCTTATGGAGAAAATAAAATTAATCAGATGAAAATTACCTTAGTTTCTTCTCCCTAAATCTACAGCTTTGACTGTCTATTCCTTCTAAGTTTTATCCCTTCACATGTGGTATCTCATCTCTTAACTAACTCCTGGTGGCCTCACATTGACTATATCTTTTGTATCTTAATTTTTTCTTCTCTACTAAATATTATTTTCAAGGTTTTTTCAGTCTTAAAAAGAACTCTGAGATCGAGGATTGTAGTTTATGCCTGTAATTCCAGTGCTGAGGAAAGTAAAGGAAGGAGGGTCTCAAGTTCAAACCCAGCCTGGTCAACTTAGTGACTTAGAGAAACCCTGTCTCAAAATAATAAAAACTTATAGGAAGGGCTGGAGATATGGCTCAGTGCAAAGACCCTGGGTTCAATCCCTAGTACTGGAGAAAAACTTGAGTTTAAGTTCTCTGCCAGATACTAATCTCTTCCTTTTAGAGCCTTTTCTTCTATAAATTGCTTGAAAGTGTTGTCTACTCCCCAACCAAGGACATTCTAATTTTTATGCAACCACTCTATTGAAAATACTACTATATATAAGTAAATGTTATGTTGATTTAACAAAGAGATGCATATCTCTTTGATGTGAAAATTCCAATGCAAATGAGTAAGATAGAGCAGCTTTGCTTTTTAGGTCCTTTTAGAAACAAACTTCATCCCAAGTTAATTGCCCCAACATTCCCTAAGGTAGTGTCCTAATCTGTATGGCTTACAGCTAGGTCATTACCACATTTGGGTTTTAAATGGCTTGAAGGGAAGAGGCACATCCATATTTTTTCTGTTCTAGACCTAGAAATAGCAAAATTTCTGCTCACAGTCCATACCTAACTAAAAAGGATACTGGAATATGCAGTGTATCTCAGTAGCTATATGCCAGGGTACAGTTTTATTACCATTAATTACTACAGAAAAGGAGTACAGATTTTAGCATACACCTATCAGAGTCCTGTAACACTGTCATCTTCTTAAATCTAAAAATTTTTAATACTTAAGTTTTTCTTGATTTTTCTGAAGCACTTGCTACTGTTGCACTTCCCCATCTTCTTGGAATGTTATTTGCTTTTGGTTTTGTGATTTTGAACTCTAGGAAACCCCTGTTTTATTAAAAGATACTTTTACTCTCACCTCTAAATGAAGGTATTTCTTAGAATTCTGAGGTAAGTCTTTTCTATCCTTACTTGACACATTTTTGTTTGATTATCTTATAGTAGTCCATATATAGTCATTATGATATCCATGAGAAATTGCTTATAGGACTAAGTGGGTATCAAAATCCATAGATGCTAACGCCTTTTTAAAAAATATAGTAGTAGAGACATGAACAGAGGCTGAACTTGGAATCTGAAAAGATGGCTGGGTTGCCCCGCAGGATCATCAAGGAAACTCAGTTTGCTGGCATAACCAGTTCCTGGCATTAAAGGAGAACCAGATGAGAGTAACACCCATTATTTTCATGTGGTCATTGTTGGCCCCCAGTATTCCCCCTTTGAGGGAGGGGCTTTTAAACTTGAACTATTTCTTCCAGAAGAATACCCAATGGCAGCACCTAAAATTGTTTCATGACCAAAATTTATCATCTTAATGTAGATAAGTTGGGAACAATATGTTTAGATATTTTGAAAGATAAATGGTCCCCAGCACTGCAGATCCACACAGTTCTGCTCTCAATCCAGGCTTTGTTAAGTGCTCCTAATCCAGATGACCCATTAGCAAAAGGTGTGGCAGAGCAGTGTAAGACCAATGAAGCCCAAGCCGTGGAAACAGCGAGAGCATGGACTAGGCTGTATGCCATGAATAATATTTAAGTCTAACTGATCAAGTTTGTGTCACTTCTCCTGTTCTGCCAAGACTTCTTGCTTTTTTGTTTGCATTTAATGGACATACTCTTAGAAACATTACACAATAAAAACCCAGACATTTTCAGTCCTTTGGTGATTAAATGCACATTAGAAAATCCATGTCTTGTCCTGATTCACTGTTGTAAAGCATGAGCAGAGGCTAGAAGTATCATCTGGATTGTTGTGAAACATTTAAAAGCAGTGGCCCTCTGCTTTTATGCTTTTCCCACATCATGGTTTAAGTATAAAGCACTGTGAATGAAGGTAGTTGTCAGGGGTATGAGCATTCTTTATTTTATTTTTTGAGGGGGGAAAAGAAGTATCAAAATTTTATGGGCTCCTTTCCCCCCCCTTTTATGGTAATCTAATTGCATTGGTTAAAAAGCAGCTTACCAATTATCTAGAATACATTCACTAGCTAAGTCTAACTTTATTTAGACAATATAGATGGAAAAGCTGATTGTTTGAACCAAAATGGGAACATCAACAAACATCACAGCCCTCACTAATATCACTGTGACTTTGCTGTCAAGTAAAGACTCCCCCCTTCAAAAAAAGCTTTTGACCATTTTGTATGGCTTGTCTGGAAACTTCTGTAAATCTTATGTTTTAGTAAAATATTTTTTGTTAAAAAATTAAAAATTAAAAATAGAGTACTGAGCCAGGCATGGTGGCACACACCTGTAATCCTAGCACTTGGGAGGCTGAAGCAGGAGGATCACTGAGAGTTCAAGGCTAGCCTGGACTACATAGTGAGTTCAAGGCCAGCCTGAACTACATAGTGAGACCCTGTCTCAAAAAATAATAATAATCATTTGCATATAACCTTTTATGAAATAGAGCACAATTTCCACATCAATAGAGCAAGGTATACATAATTATGCTCTAGATTGTTTTTAATATTATTACAATATAAATGCTAATTAAATAGCTATACTGTTGTTTAGAAAATGGCAGGTGAGAAGAGTCTGTATATATTCAATTCAGATACAATGTTTGGATTAAACTTTGTTTTGTTTTATTTTATAGGCACTGGGGATTGAACCCAGGGTCTTGCCATGCATGTTAAGTACTCACTCTATCACTAACACTCCTGAGCCTAGATTCTAATCATTTTATTTTTTTAAGACACCTGTGTTTGCAACCACCATCTTATGTAGCCTCCTAGCTACATACATACATCTCTCTTGTAGGTATTTCTATATTATTCTTTACCTAAGCATCGTTATGACACAATTTAATTACTGATTTGCCAAATTTTCTAGCCTGCAATTTCCATAAAGACAAATATTATCTCTATCTTATTTGTGTCATATCCTTAAAATGAGGGTTGGCTTTTTTTTTGTACTGGGGATCAAACTCAGGACCTTGTGCTTTCAAGGCAGGAAGTGGCACCACTGAGCTAAATCCCTGTTTTTTTTTCAGCTTTAATTGAGTTTATTGGAACATTTTAGGGATACAGTACAGTTACATTCATTGTTGGGATCTTGTACCTCTACATGACAAGTCTTGATTCTCATTTTTTCCCTTACCCCTGCCCTCCCTTCACCCCCTCCTCCCCTCCCCATCTACAAACACTTTATTTCCATCTTTTCATTATCTCACATTTTTTTCTTTTCCCTTATTACCCTTCCCCTACCCATCTAATCCCTGATATTTTTAATATAAAAGGGAGGGATCTAATACCCCATACTTGATGTATTTAATATATTTTGTGCATTATTTTCCTGGTACATATACCCTGAAAAAATGAATGATGTAACTAACTATAATTGACTGAATTCAACATTTATTTGTAACATTTATGAAATATATGAATAAAACATTATTTCAAGTCTGTACATTTTAATGGACCTTTTTCTGTCGAGGATTCAAAGCAGTGATAATTCAATGTAGAGTAGAAATATTATTTGGATTCTGGTTCAAACAAACCATATTTTGGGGAGAACTTGGGAAAATCAGAGTAAAACTTACATTAAACTACTGATAAATTTATTGATTGTGATAGTGTGATATTTTGAAATATCTTCTGTATTACATATAATAAAGTATTCCAACGGGGGAAATACGATACTTGGAGCTTTACTTTTGATTTATGAATTTCTTTTTCAAAGACAAAAAATTTAATGGATAAAATCATAGGGACACATGGTGGCGCTACAAGATAAGATGAAAACTGTACACAGAGAAGATCAAACCCACGGAGAAGAGAGGTATTGAAAGGAGCTGCTGCAAGGGTATAATCTCCGCAGGAGTTTTCTGTCAAAAAACCAGAGCTTCATCTTCCAAACTTAGGGCTGAACTTAAAATTTCCCACACCGATAACGGATGCTTGAAGGAGCCATGGGACTCAGAGGGTTGCTCTCTCTTAAGAAAAGGCAAGTGCCATTTTTCTTGGTTTTGCTAGGATTGGCTCAGGCGGGTTTGGAATCATTACACTATTCTGTAGCAGAAGAAAGAGAAATAGGCTCTTTTGTAGCTAATTTAGCAAGGGACCTGGGGCTGGAGTTGGAGGATCTGTCTGCACGGGAGGCCCAGGTAGTGTGTGATGATAATGAAAAACATTTGTACCTTGATTTGCTGACGGGAGATTTACTCTTGAATGAGAAACTGGACAGAGAAGAGTTGTGCAGCACCACTGAGCCCTGTGTGCTGCATTTTCAAGTGGTATTGGAAAACCCTTTGCAGTTTTTTCAGGCTGAGCTGCACATCAGAGATATAAATGATCACTCCCCTACATTCCTAGACAAGGAAATACTTATTAAAATATCAGAAAGTACAACTACTGGGACAACATTCTTAATGGAAAGTGCTCAAGATTTGGATGCAGGAAACAATAGTCTCCAAAACTATACAATTAGCCCCTCTTCTCATTTTTGTATTAAAATTCGAGAAAGTGGTGATGGAAAGATATACCCAGAGTTAGTTCTAAATAGAATGTTAGATCATGAGGCGGAACCTGAGCTTAGACTGACGCTGACTGCACTCGATGGTGGATCTCCACCCAGGTCTGGGACAACACTAGTTCTTATCAAGGTCTTGGACATTAATGACAATGCCCCCGAATTTGCTCAGGGTCTCTATGAGGTGCAGGTCCTGGAGGATGTGCCTGTTGGCTCCTCGATTATTACCATCTCTGCCAAGGATTTAGATAAAGGAAATTACGGGAAAATAACTTACACATTTTTTCATGCATCCGAAGATATTCGTAAAACCTTTGAAATCAACTTACTATCTGGGGAAGTTAATTTAACATCACAACTGGATTTTGAAACAATACAGTCCTACTCAATAAATATTCAGGCAACAGACGGTGGGGGTCTATCAGAGAAATGCTCTCTTCTAGTTAAAGTACTAGATATAAACGACAACCCCCCAGAAATTGCCATGTCCTCAGTTACAAACACAATTCCAGAAAATGCCCCAGAGACCATTGTGGCCCTTTTTAGTGTTCGAGATCATGATGCTGGGGACAATGGGAGGATGATTTGCTCTACTCAAGATGACCTCCCCTTTATCCTGAAACCAACCTTCAAAAACTTTTTTACTCTGGTTACTGAGAAAGCTCTGGACCGAGAGAGCAGATCTGAGTACAACATCACCATCACGGTCACCGACTTGGGCACACCCAGGCTGAGAACCCAGCACAACCTAACCGTGCAGGTCTCCGACGTCAACGACAACGCCCCGACCTTCACCCAAGCCTCCTACACCCTGCTGGTCCCCGAGAACAGCAGCCCCGCCCTGCACATCGGCACCGTCAGCGCCACG